GTATAATATGGTCGCAGATGTCAGTAGTGATCCCTTCTGCCTTAAGACTGCCCTCAGAGTCAAAGACGGTTAGCCCTGGCCAGAAGTCTAGTCAAGTTAGCTATTGCCAGAAGGAAGGCGTGAGCACACCTAGGGAAGACGCAGCTCGGCTCACTCACAGGATACACGCAAACTGGGACCATGAGAATGGGTCATTCCTCCCTACCACACAGCACTGCAGGGATGAAAAACAGAAATGGAGGGAGGACCAACTGTGACACCAGGGCGTGAAATGACCTTGCTCCTTGCGACGGGGCTGTATTCTGGGACGCCTCCATGGAGTGAAATATGACAAGAGCAGCTCAAACGTGAAACGCACGCCGACTCGACACCCCAGGACTGCACGTTACTTGGAGCACGCCCCTACAGGTCCAGTTGGGCGTGCTCCAAGTAACGTGCAGTGGATGCTCACTACCACACACTTTTCAAGCACCACACCAGAAATGAGCAGATGTCTGTCACAAGGATCTGGTTAATAAAATTAAGACATGATCCCTAAAACAGAACACTCAAAAGTAGCCATAAAAAATGGGATCGTTCTGTGTGTTCTGATAAAGATAAATATGCCAAAATTTTTCAGGTGGGAAAAAGCAAGATGCACAACTGCATGTATAGTATGCAGTCATTTGTGCATAAAAATGTACATAAACACAATACAGCAGTTCCCCCATCGGCAGCTTTGCTTTCCAAGGTTTCAGTGACTAGCAGTCAACGGTAGTCTGAAAATAGGTAAGCACAGTACAATAAGATATTTTGAGAAACACGATTAAGAAACTTTTATTTCAGCATATTGTTTTAACTGTTCTACTTTATTGCTGTTGTTACTATCTTACTGTGCCAAATTTAGAAATGAAGCTTGAACACGGGTATGCAAGTGCAGGAAAAAAACATAGGACTTACAGGGCTCAGTACCATGTGCAGTTTCAGGCATCAACTCAAGGTCTTAGAATGTATTGCTGGTGGATAAGGGGAGACAACTGTACACGTAAACTTGGAAGTGTACGGAGTATCTCTGGAAGGCTGCACAAGAAAAAGGCTAATGGTGACTGCTTGTGTGGAGGGAAACTGGGAGGCAAGGATGGGAAAAAGATTTACTTCTCACTGCATTTCTGTTTTGTTGTTGTACCTTTTGATTTTCTACATGTCCACTGCCTACTGGGATAATTAACACTGAATCTAAACTCAGATATGGAGATTTCAGGTAAAATAAAGCTTTAATGACGTAAATTTTTGAAAAGAAGTTTGACTAGCAATGGCAGTCTAAGAAAGGACCAACCAAGGCAGTCCAAGGACTATTTCAAGAAAAGGAGTGAATGAACTTTGAACTGCAATCTTTGCCACACTCTCTCCATGGTGAAGGTAATGGCAGCAGGAAAGGTGAGTTTGAGAACACTAAATATTTCCAGAACAACCTTCCAACTCCATGCTCAGCAAGTTTATGTGCCTTCCACGTGAATCTGCCTAGCATGAGCTAGTTTCAGAGCCACTAGTAATCCAAACTGTACATGTCACTTAACAATTCAGATTTTTATAGCTGTTAAAAGCCCAGACCTGTTCTTAGTAAAAACAGTTTCCAAGCCTGCAAAGCTCAAAGTCAGATCCTGACTGTGGTAAATCCACCACGATTATTATGCTTTGAGACACCTTTAGGAGGGCAACCACTGGCTTCCCTTAAAGACAATACTTTTTTCAAAATGTCAATAATTAGCATACTTCCAAGGACAGTTTCTATTTTTCTAGTATTTTTCTATCTCTTTGTATTAAGTTACTGTAATTCTCTAACTTTGGTTTTCTTTCTATCTGCCACAGGAAGGATAACATGTCTGTTCAAAACTCTCCTTCAAACTATAACTTTTTTTTTTCTTGAGTTAGAATCTCACTCTGTTGCCTAGACTGGAGTGCAATGGCAAGCTCATGGCCACCACAACCTCAACCTGCTGGGCGATCCTTCCGCCTCAGCCTTCCAAGTAGCTGGAACTACAGGGATGTATCACCACGCCCAGCTAACTTTTAAAAAATTTATCGTAGAGATGAGTTCTCACCATGTTGCCCAGGCTGGTCTCGAACCCATGGGCTCAGGCAATCCTCTGGCCTCGGCTTCCCAAAGTGCTGGAATTACAGACATGAACCAACGCACCCAGCTCAAACTATTAGGCTATTTATTGAATGTTACGATGAAGTGAGACTATTCTAGGTGCCAAGAGGAATTTAAAAAGCAGATAAAGCAGTCTGCATGAGGAGGAAACTCTGCACAGACCTCAGAAATACAAGGGCATGAACACAGCAGTCTGTACATGTAATTAGCTGTTGCGCTGCCGTTTCTCTCATCACATCGCCATTCCTCCCATTACTGCAATGAAACAACTAACACTCTCCAAGATCCCTTCTCCTCTTGGCGTTCCTCAGCTTTGCATTTTCTCAGCCCAACCTCTGCCTCCCCACCCGCCTAGGTGGCCTGGAGGCACTTGCATTCCCTGCCTCCTTCCTTTCCTTTGTGAGTGGCTCCATGATGCCTCCTCCTAGCAGGAGCAACTGGAGGCACACAACTAGCAGGGTTTCTCTCCTTGTATCTGAACCAGAGTTCCCCAAACTGGTGTCCTGTATCTTTCAACTACTGATGCTTATTAATTTGAATAAAGTGAATTTTCTGCACCTAGCTCATAAAAGGTGCTTAGTAAATATGTGTGCTGCATTCACCAGCAGCAGGCAAGAACTGAAAAAGCCTGAGTGGTTATAATGGCAGTTTATATGCAACTGTCATTTTCCAAACTTGCGTTTTGTAGAACTCCAATTCTGTGGACTTTAATAGGTATTGTTTAGAGGGAAAACAAAGGTTCTTTCATCAAATATGCATAAAACACTGGGCTTTATAAAATTAAATGAGTTTCTTTTTGCAGCTTTACTGACGGCACCTTTAATAAGTTAAAGCAAATCTCTTAGGGGAGAGTGCTAGAGGACTATTACAGAAAGCATTTCTCACATGATCTTTTGACTCCATATCCTTTTTTCACAGAGGATCTTTCAGGCCTCTTCCTCCTTGATGAAGTGAGTATTTACTTCATAGGGTTAATGTGAAGGTTGAGTAGGTTAAGACACGTACAATGCTTAGAACAATGCTAGGCGCATAGTAAGCCCTCAAGAAGAGGTAACTATACTTACCACTACATTCCCTTGTGCTGATATTTACCATGACAATATTCTCAGAAAAGTGAAATAAGAAAAATGCTACTGTGATTCCCAGTTACCACCAAGTGCACCCCTTTGCCTGGGAAAAACTGCCTTAAGGCTACAAATAACAGAAAACATTTACAGAAATAGTCACTCTATATGACATGGTTATCAACAAAAAACTTAGTATCTTACAGAAAAAGCACAACATTAAAATAGTCTTAAGAATTTTCTCGATACCAAAAGGAAGTCTTGAGTACTCTGCAGGCTCAGGTAGCAAATACTACGCACCAGTGACTGTACGTTCAGTTATAGTATGTACAGTACCTAGTGCATCATACATACTTTTAAAAGCTTGATGAAAAACCCAAGGCAGGCACAGGTAAATGAGTATTACACCTTGTGTAACAACCCAAAAACGACTTCCTGATCACATAAAAAAAAACTGAGAAATCCGTTACATTTAAATATTTAAGCTCTCTCATTCTTCTTGATAGAAAATGACTGCCATATTTTAAGAGGTGGTAGAGGTAATCGATTAAATTTATCTCCCAGGTGTGTCACAATCTAAAGTCTGCTTAGGCAAACAAACACAAACTCTACAAAGGTAAAATGCATCTTACACAGTGGCACAGTTCTTAAGAGAGGTCTATCTTTATAGAGTACCTATCTCACATTTACAATTTATACAGGAATTTTGTAATTTATAAATTTACACAGAAATCTCTTTCTATTTGGTCATCTGGGCTGGTTTTAAAACTGCAAGATTTTCTAAGAACTGAGAAACAATCATAAACAGGAAACTAATCTATGAAGAATTAAATGATTTGCTGGAAGAAAAAGTAAAGAAAACTGTGCATCTTATAAAAGTCAACTTTCCAACTATTCTTTTCTGGTAACACTGATCTCAAATCTTTCCAGTTCTAAAATATCAGGATTCAAAGGCTATACCCTCACAACGATATCACTGCTTCCATCAACCAGCTTCTTCCCTTTATTTTATGAGCCATTTATTACAAATAACCTGGCAGTTCTCATATTAAAAAATAGTAGGGCCAGGATCAGCAAACTATGGCATAGGACAAATATAGCTTGTTGCCTGTTTTGAATGCCAGATGGCCAAGATGGGTTTTTACACTTTTAAAGGGCTGTAAAATAAAGAAGAACATGTGATAAAAATCGTATGTGGCCTGCAAAGCCTTTATTCACTATTTGGTCCTTTATGAAAAAGCTTGCCAATTCTTGAAAAGCTTGCTCTAGAATATTTATTACAGTTTATTCAGTAATTTCAGATAATTCCTATTAATGAGACGTTCACAGTCGATCACCAAAATCCACAGTAATAAAGAACAGAGTGCCTTTATAACAACATTTGCTCTCTTGACGCATACCACTTAGTTCCAATAACCAATTAAATCACGTCTTAGGACACTAGTACAGAACTCATCACGTTATGGAAGTTCAAATATCAAACTAGCACCACCTGAACAAGAGTGCTTCAGTCACGATGCCAGTCCACACAAAGTGGTAGTATAGCATGGACACAGGAAACCCTTGTCTCTCATGGGAATCCAGACCAACTGATAAGTGACATAAGCTCTAACCATTTTTCCATACTGCACACCCCGATATTTCACTTGGCTAAAATAAATAAAATAATTCTCCTTTGATTTCTCTAAAGTCTACCCAGGTGAGATACAAACATATCTAAAAATCTCTAATGTGTTTTCTAATTAAGATTTCCTATGTAGTGTTCCCAAAGAACTAAAAAGAAAGCAAACTCAGTCACTCACTCCAGAGCAGGTCTCAGAACTCTGACTTTTAATGCCTCTAATATTCGATTTAACTCCACAAATGGTTCTTTCTGACTTGGGTCTACAGAAAGACCAGATTCCTGGGAAAAAAAAAAAAAAAAAACGATTTTTGTTAGCAGTAATCAGGATAAAATCATTAAAGATAATTTCCCTTTAACATGTATTTCTATGGCAGAGACAAATGACCACTCCCAGTAGCAAATTATTTCCGCTTTCCCACATTAGAACCTTCATATTTCAGCAGGGTACATGACCATATGGAATACAGCTGGTACAGCTTTGCAAGATGTTAGCTTCTGGCTGGTAAAATATAAACATGTACTCTTTGCCCTTCCTGGGATGGAAAGGTGTGGCTGGAGCCTTGGCTGTGATCCTGGACCATGAGGACAGGTGACACCTTAGAAACAACAGAGCTACAAGGTGCATAGGTCCCTAAGATGGAGTAGAGCTACCATATGTGCTGTGGGCGTCTTACTACTTCCTAGTTCTCTTCAAGATGAATAAACTTCACTTTTGTTTAAACCACTATTATTTTGGGTCTTTGTTACTTAAAAGCAAACTTAATTCTCAGTGATACAATTTATTGCAGAAAATGTATATGAACACACTCATATAATCCCTGTAAGGTACAGAGAAAGACCTGAGCTATCGTTCTGAACTGTTTAAAACAGAAAAGGCTTAGATGAGAGATTCAGTTTACAGACTGGTTTTAAATTATTTAATCCTTTTAGTCTTCCTTTTTTTAAAAAACAAAAAATGCAATAGCACATGGTAGCACAGAACAGTTTGGAGGCACATGAATAGGAGACTGAATCTCAATTCTTTCACAAAGAACCCATGGCCTTGGGCAAGTTTTACTTTTCCAGACCTCAGATTTCTCATGTGTAGAATAGGAAAAAATTTCTACTTCATAGAGCTGCAGCAAGGAACAGAGGCTAGGTTTAACTAGAAGCGAACACTTAAAACATGGCAGTTGCTCCTATTACGACCATGTGGTCCCGATGAACTGTTCTAAGATCCCTATGCTCATGTCTAATAGAAATAAAAGACAAACACTGCTCACCCAAAATAAACTTCAGTATGAAATTCATTTGACAAACAAAATTCTTTAAAGCTGAGCTAGATGAGAAGAACAAACAATCATGTTTTGTCCCTTTCCTCTTCTCCACTAGACTAACCTTCCCGATCAAAGGAAAAACTGGTGAAAGCAGCATCTCTTCTCATCCCCTTGATTCATGACCTGGGACCAACCTTCTGGGTCAGGAACAAGGAAACAACCATTCTGACAGCAAGTTCTAGGACTATAACTTTCACCACTTCAAAAAATTCCTAGTAAAATGAGGTCATTCCTGATAAGGAAAATATTAAAGATCTATAACTGGTGGAAGACTCAAAACCCCACTCTGCAAATAACGCGAACTCCAAGGAGTCCCTCGCTTCTTCTTCATATCCTCCCAGTTGGCACACAGTTACCTGGCAGAGTTCCTCAGCTACGTCCAGCATTCCTTGTCGGAAGAAGTGTTCCACCATCACCTCGTTGAGAAGCCTTTGACTATCTGCCTGCCAGCAGCCGTCTATTCCCACACTGCTAATGTCAGAATCAAAATTCTGAAACACAAAGAAAAGGACTCATGAATAGATTATTTTCACACCACCAAGCAGGAAAAAGGTCATTTCACTCTGAGATATTCCCCAGTAGGTACCCAATTCCAATTTATCAATAGCCCCGCACACAAAGGAATTTTTTAATTACTTCTTTCTAAAACTTGTCATTCTCATGGATTATTGCTGAAGGAGTATATAGGTACATTTTTAGAGAATATTCTGGGTTTAACGATGATTTCTGTAAATAAAGGCAATTACATGAATTAACTGATTTCTAAGCATTACAGTATAGCAATATTTTCAGTGATGCAGTGATAACCTGTAAAAGCATGCTCAATGCAACACTGCCTATAATGGATAGGGAAAAGAAGAAAAAACACACATGCCCATCAACACAAGATTAGCTAAATAATCCATGACATATCCCAATGGTACTGTGGTCTGATTTGGTGGGGGAATGGTCAAGCAGTTAAGAGTGCTTTTAGTACACCTTTGGGCTTGCCTTTAAGCTATGTATACAAGGACTTGACTCTAAATGACATACTACAGAAAACTGAACTCAAGGATAGACCTAATTCCCAGGCCTCACATCGGCTATTGGGTTGTACACAGACAGGACAAATCTGAATAGCTGTAACTGCTCCAGGAAAAAAACAAAAACAAAAACAAAAAACTGACACTGAAACTACAACCCAGAGAAGACCAATCAGAACTTGTGGCTTGAACTCAACCAACCAGACTGACTGCCTACTAAAACAAAAATATCAACACTCTTCACAGCGTTTTAAACAAGACTCAGAGTGCTGCAGCATAATCAAAATGTCCAGGATACACTGCAAAATTATTTGACATATGAAAAACTGAGTAAATCTCAATTCATATGAGAAACAATGATCAACAGACACCAATGCCACTAAGACAGAAATGGTAAAATCATCAAAGACCACAGACTTCACAAGTTATTACAAAAATGCAAACACTCCTGAAATGAAGGACAGAGAGGCTTTGCAAGAAGTAGAAGATAAAGTAACCAAAAACCTCAATGGATGCACTCAACAGCAAAATGAAAATGGCAGTGCAAAAAGTCAGTGAAGATCAACAGAAATCATCCAATGTCAACAACAGAAAAAGGATTAAAAAAAAAAAGAACAGAGCCTCAGGGACCTGTGGGATAATAACAAAAGATCTAACATTTGTGTCCTCAAAATACCAGAGGAGAGGAGAGTGTGGTATAGAAAAAGTATTTCTCAAGTTTGACAAAAAGACGTACATCTACTGATTTAAGTTCAGTGATCTCCATAAAGGATAAACTCAAAGAAATCTACCCAGGGGCTCAGCCTGTAATCCCAGCACTCTGGGAGACTGAGGTGAGTGGACTGCCTGAGCCCACGAGTCTGAGACCAGCCCGGACAACTTGGTGAGATCTCGTCTCTACAATCAATAAAAAACCAGCCGGGCATGATGGCATGTGCCTGTAGTTCCAGCTACTTGGAAGGCTGAGGTAGAAGGATCGCCGGAGCCCAACAGGTCAATGCTGGGGAGACTGTGAGCATGCCACTGCACTCCATCCTGGGCAACGGAGTGAGACTCTTAACTCGAAAAAAAAAAAGAAATCCCACCTACACATCTCAAGATCAAACTGCTGAATGCTAAAGATAAAGAAAAAAGTGTTCCAAGCAGCCAGGGAAAAGTGACATTTACTTATAGAGGAAACATAATTCAAATGACTATAGATTTCTCAAGAGACACCAGAGAGGCCAGAAAGAAGAGGCAGGACACTTTTTCAGTACTGAAAGAAGAGAACTATCACCCTAGAACGCTAAATCCAGTGGAAATATCCTTCAGGAATGAAGATAAAGTCATTCTCAGATAGAGGAAAATAGATTTGTTGCTGGCAGACTTGCCCTAAAAGAATTGCTAAAGTAAGTTCTTCAGACAGAAGAAAATGATACCAGAAGGAAACACGAAACATCAAAAGCAACGAAAGAGCATATCTACAAAAGAAAGAGCAAATCTACATCCTGGTCTGAAAGCTTTCCCTGCCCAATTCCATTTCTGCCCCTTATCTTTCACAGGCATTACTGCACTTAAAACAACAACAACATCAACAAACAACAAAAACAAATCATCTTACTTAGACAAGATCATTTAGAGTTAACTAAAATCGCAATCCTAGTCCAGTCACTGCTTAAATACAGTCCAACCAACATGGTATTATTTTATAGGACATACAAGAACACGTAGTAAGTAACCTGCAATAATGGCTAAAAACACCCTGCTATTTACAATCACAATGCAAGAGTGCTGTTATCCAAAATTAAGTTTATTTCTCTTCCCTATAGAGATAGTAACCTATTTTTAGCTCTCAAGCCAATAGCCTAAAATTGAATACATACGTTAGGATCTAGAATTCGACAAAACAAAAACAAAAAAAACAAGACCACTCTCAGAGTCTTAATTTTTATCCATTTTCTTTCCATAGATATTTTCTTGGCCAAGTACTTAACCTAAATAATGGAAATAATACGAAGTGCCTAATGCACACATGAACAGACTATTACCTAGCAGTAAAGAACCATAATTGCAGCCGGGCTCGGTGGCTCAGCCTGTAATCCCGCGCCTTTGGGAGGCTGAGGTGAGTGGATTGCCTGAGTCCGCGGGTTCGAGACCCGCCTGGGCAGCGAGACCTCATCTCTACAATAAATTTAAAAAAAAAATCAGCCGGGCGTGGTAGCGCGCGCCTGTAATTCCGGCTACCTGGAAGGCTGAGGCAGAAGGATTGCTGGAGCCCAGCAGGTCGAGGCTGCGGTGGCCGGGAGCGGCCACTGCACACCAGTCTGGGCGACAGTGAGACTCCAACTCAAAAGAAAAAAAAAAGAACCATAATTGCTTTTATAAGGTTCATGTGTTTCATTTCCACTTAGCAGATGCTGCTTGTTGACAGTTAATGTTGTAACAATTTATCAATACTTTTAAGCAAGTATTGCATCTTTATGCTGTCTGTGACAAGTAGGACACTGCAAGTGGTGTTACTTTGGTCCTCTTCTGTACTAGATTGGATGGAGGCCCAAGGGTGATGGATGTTATACTCTCCCATGTTCTGCTCCCTGAAGGATCACTCAAATGAATAAAGACAGGGCCTTCTGAAGATGACAGAATTGATTACAAACCCCAGTATTTGCCCCTAACTCTCTAAGTGTCTAGGTGCACACTATAAGCAAAGAATCACTGAGACTAATTAAGAAAGATCCCTCATTAATTTATCATTAAATCCAATTATAACCTTCAAGTTCATCATTTAATGATTTATTACTCCCCAATCTCATCAACTCAACACATTTATCAGGTACTTACTTATTCCTTAGAAAACACATAAAACAACTTTGGAAGACACACTCATCAGCTCAAAGCACAAACTATGTTTAAAAAGACAATTTTACTTGGCAGTGTATCTATTAAGACAGAATTTTAATAGCTGCCACCAGATAGTAACTGCTCAGATCAAACTAAAGAATTTTTAAATTTTTTTCCTTAACATACATACCAAAACTAAATGTTAATCATCTAGAAAATTTTAAAGAGTCTAATATGCAAACAATCTCCTTTGGGTTTGTTACAAAGTTTTACAAAGATGCCCTTCCCATACCTTTACTTCCTTAAGACTGTCTATGGTCACTACTATATGGTCACACACACTCAGAATCTCCCTACAATTTAGTTGCTCCTCTTGGAAAAGAAGCATGAATGAGCAAGGCATTACATGACTTACTGAAAATTTCTGAGATCCCTTCTATCATTTTGATTTTTCAATCTAAACCATTGAGGGAGGTAAGCAAACTTCTTTGGTACTTAACTAAAGCATTTTTCTATTCCTTTTATACCTTATAAAAGGTATAGAAATTGAGCAAATGCAATACAGTGTCAAACTCCTGTTGTTATAACTGCAGGTTCTTACTGTGACATCAGAGCTGGTATCAGTTCCAGCTTCCGTTGCTAGATGACCAAACTAGGTGACCAAACTTGTTTGCATGGCTGCCCAGAAAATCAGTAGTACTGCAAACCAGCCAAGAGGTGGCTAATGAAAAGAAATAACCATTATTAGCATCTTCTGCTTTACTATACTTTTTCCTTTCACATTTTTAAAGTCAAGGAAAGCCTTGGCACAACATCCTTAATTGAGAAGAAAGGATCCAAACAAGAACTACAGCAAAAAAACACACATCACGGGTGTGTCCGTCTGGAGAGGATGTTATGGCTTGGAAAGAAAAATCAAGGACACACTAAATCTGGAAGCTGAGGCAAAGGAGAAGTAAATAACTTTAATAAAACATCACCATGAATTGTGAGATCTAAACACAACGCCCTACCTCCCTGGCGTATCACGAACATGCTTACAAACCATTCAGACTTTAAGAAATGATTTTCATTGTTCAGCACCAAAAATGAATTCATTTCCCAAATACATTTTATAAAATCATAATTATTGAGCAAACAGTGGCAGCAATACAAGGTACAACTGAGTATTTAATTCGCAAGTGCTAATCCTCTACTAGTGCTGATAAACTTTTTAAAACATCTCCACCTAACTTTGAAGAACCTGAGGATGTGCTCCTGGTATGCATACCAAGAATCCATTTCCCTTCTAAGCATCCAGTTAATCTGGTTTAGCAGTGAGAGGCAGCCTGCCAAGGATACCAAACAGAAAAAGACGACTTTTATTCTGATTCCCCCCAGACTGGGAGAAGATGGTTACTTCACACACAATCTTCAAAGGATGAGCGTTCAAAAGAGTTTGAAAGAAACACCTCGCGTCAATAAGAAAACCAACTGACCAGAACCGAATGGACAAAAGAAGAGCATGAAATCCACAAAAGGGGTAAATACTAATGTTAAACATGAAAAGATGTTCAACTTTAAAGATGATCAAAGAATGGCAAAATTAGTACAACGAGATTCTATTTCCCACTCGATTGATTTTTTAAAAACTCAAAGTCTAATCATAC